ATTTTACTAAAAACCGGTTTATGATTCCCGGCATCGAGTAAACTGAACATGAGTTTGTATGGAATGCGTGTGTGGAATGTATATTGAGTTTGTTACTCGGGAGCAATTTTAGGATCGACGGTGGGAAAAATGCATATTTTGTCGACAGCTGTGAACGCTCTACCCATTACAGCTATTTGACAATGCTCGGCTAACACGTTTACTCGATATCGAGAAACATAAGCCGGCGCTTTTCTTGTTCTATGACCAATCACTCAGCGTGGGTCCCCCATACTTGTAACACGTTGGGGATAAAAGGAAGGGTAGTGACTTCATACTAACGTGTTAATACTCAATCGGTAAGTATTATACATTAACCGGCTAAATGCCCTACTTTCAGCTACGACAAAGTATGATCGCAGGCCGCACTTAGATTTGAACCCGCTAACGCTGACTTGGTAATTAAAATTCTTATTTATTCGACTATGCGGCAGATTAGTTAATCGTAGTTAGTAAATGAAACTTACTGAGTAAAGAAATGTTAACGAGGTAAAGTACACCTCGTTATCTGTGCCATAAGCTATGCTTAGGTTAGTTATAACAATATGTATATAAAATCTATTTTCGACTCTATTTCGACTTTTGCTTTAGTTTTTGTGTGCATTTTCACTATTCACACCACTCAATTTAAAACCCTAGTTAGTACACTTTTCTATTTCCATTTTCGAGGCTGTGAAAATGCCAACATTACACCGCGAACGTCTCTAAACGGGTTCGAATTTTGCAGTGGTTTTGTTAACAAACAGGACGATTTTTATATATGTGTGTATTACAAATGAAGTGAAGAAATTAGTATTCGTCATCCTTCGATAGCTATTAAAACTTTGAATATTTGTAACTTTATTAGGCACAAAACTTTGCTGGCAATGAAAAAGTCACACTCCTCGGTTTCTCATTTTCTTGGACCCGCAAAATAGGAGTTTAAAAAAACACTGCGGCTTAAGAGAAAAGAGTAGGATCGACTTCTAAAACTCACATCGTATGATTATATTGATCAGAAGCAAGTTAAATTTTTTCCTTTTACTAAAGGAATACAATTCTAGCTAAGCAGGCAAGCATTAAACAAACCTTGCTTCCATTGCCAATAAATTTTTCTTTTTAAAGATATTTTCCGCATATCATTTACGAAATTTTCCACTTAACGCACAAAGCTGCGTAAGCATAATAAAAATATATTTCAAAATTATTGTAAAACTCAAAACATTGCTGAAGCGTCTCTCTATTTAATATTCCATGTTGTTGTTGTTGTTGTTGTTACTTTCATCATTTCAATGATAATTGCTGTGTACGCATATAAACATTTCATACATGCGTTCACTGCTCTATTGTATATATGATGCATACGCCTATATATACATATATGAATACACATGCAAGTACTTGCCTGCTCGCCTTTTATGTAAAAAAATTTCTCTCTGCAAACTACAAATTATCCCCTCACTGTAGTGAGTTTTCGTTCCGTTTCATTTTCATTTTTCATTTTCTTTCGTTTTTTTTTTTTTTTGCGATATTAAATGTCAACACAAACACCAAAGTTTCAACCAAGCAGCCCTTATGTGTGCGCTTTCTCTTTACATATATACATGCATTACATTTAAGTACAATTACAATGTCATAATACAAGCATACAAAAGCGCTCATACACACACACACTCATACATCCATACAGGACCAAATGTACGTGCTAATAAAACCTGTTATTATATTTTTCACAAGCATGTAAGAGAACGAGTGCATAGAAAGTTTTTTTTTTTGCGCTGATAGTAAACAACTTCTATGAGGACAAACGTAATTACATAAAACAGAAGTCACAATATAATGCAACGTTGCATTTTTCTCCTTTCCTTTTTTCCTTTTTTCTTTTTGCTTTTTTATTTTATTTTTTCTTTTTGTCTTGGCTTGTTCTTACTTGTAAGTTTGCTACAAATTATGATTATTTTCAATGTTTATAATCATTATTTAAGTAATTAACGGTTATGAACTACCATTGCCCATATAGCGACTCCTTCTCCTAAATATCCCGTTCATGAAAACAAATGCTTTTCTTTTATGGAGCACAAGCCTAAAATGCAATCTAAGTTTTCTAAAACTTTATTTTTTTTTTTTTTCAAGTTTCTCTCAATTATGCGAACTTTAAGGAGTTTGTTAAATATTTTGTGAAATAAAAATTTATTAAATAACTTTCAAACTAAGAAATTTTTATTTATTTATTTTAAAGAAAAACTGGGAAACCATATTAAATTATACTTTTTTAAAAATTAAGTTAAATAAAATTATGCTTTTTCCTTAACTTTTTTATTAAAACTTAGCTCGCAGATTACACAAAGGCAACGTCTTCCTGATTAGCGTGGAATGCAGAAACTTTCTAATTAGGTTGCCTTGGGAAAGAATGGAAATTCAACTCTTTTCGATCCAAGATGATGGTTATGTTAAATATCTTCCTCATATGTACAAATAAATTCACATATATTTGTATAAAATATTATACATATACACATATATATTATAAATAGATTTTTTTAAATATTTTGTGTGTGTGTGTGTGTGTTTGTTGTTATATGTATATATACATATATATATATATGTATATATATATAGCTCAAGATGCATGTGAAATCACCACAGTGGGCAACGGTCCACCATTAAATACCCTACACCCCTTCCCATAATGCAGTTATTCATATAATAACTTCTCAAAATAAGGTATTGTCGAAAAAGTGATGCCATCTGAAACATTTTCAATAGCGTTCGACCTTGGGACAAAATATCGCAGTATACCAAATTTCATTGCAATATCTCAAAAATTACTACCTGTAGAATGAACACAACAAACCAAGACAGACAGACGGACAGTCAGACGGGCAAGCTTAAATCGATAGAGCAAGTGATTGCCAAGCAATCGGTTTAATAAAACGTGGGTCCATCTCACGTCCTTCTGGGTGTTATTATACTCGTGTACCACGAGTAGTGCACGAAATAATTATGAAAATATTCTAAACTTTGTATTAAATTTCACCGGACCTCTCTCTCTCTCTCTCTCTCTTAACTCCTAGCTTAAAACCATGAAACAGAATAACCTGCCAACTTATGTCTGTCTTTCAAGTGCTGTAACCTCTTTCCTATATTTACGTTTAATCTTACTCCTAAGTATGTAAACTTTTTACATATCTCTCTTTAAGTGCTTGTGAAACTTTATGATTAGTGAAGAACAGGATCAGGTGACGCAAAATAAAAGACTACTAAGTTATTTAGTTTCTATATATTCGGTGCTTACTTTTCATCTAAAAAAATCGGGCCATCCAGAAAAACTTTATCATAATGCCGGACTTTTTTCAGCGGGTCTTAAAACCTTAAGTTATGTAAATTTACATTAAGCGAAAGATAAATGTAACTAACTAACACTCCACGTATTTTATTACATTCGAATTACAGAAGTCAGGGTATGCCCATCAAAGGTTTTAGATTTTATTGAAAACGAATACGTCCGTCCGTTCAAATTGACAACGGGCAAAATTACAAAAATTTGCTTTTAAGTTCAAGTCTTGAAGCGATGAAATATTGAGTAAGAAGTAGAAAAAAAATTCGTTCTAATAACCTAAGCTGTACCTAACCTGGTGGTAAAAAATTCAACAAAGTAACCTTCACAACTCCAATTCAAAAAGAATTGCGATTGGAAACTTGAAATCAAAAGTGACAATTTCAAGAATTTAATTAATATAAACTAAAGTCGAACTTATTATCTAACTAACTAAATATTAGCAGGATCCTGCAAAAATTCCATATAAAATTATATACAATTAAAAGCCTGGTCGGACCATTCTAAGTACAGGCTTGTCAAATCTTTTTTTCCACCTCTACAGTCTGATGAATGCATTCATCGAGAAAATTATTCAAAGAGTTTGCTTTAATTTCCATCGAAGCAATCAATTCTATAATAGAATAAGAAACAATAACAGGTATGGTATTAGATTTCCATTTTTTATTAAAAAAAAACAAGATTGCAAAAAGAAAAAAAATGTTTTTTTTTTTTTTTTTTTTTTTTTTTTTTTTTTTTTTTTTTTTTTTTAGACACGATTGTATGTATAAAATTTGCTTCTGCAATAATTGAAGGTTATGCAACTGTTGTTAATAATAACATGGAAAACAATTATTGATTTATTCTTTGAATATTTAATGAAATAAATTATTCAAAAGATAATTTTCAAAGTACACATATATAGATAGAAATAAATTGCTGTATAATTAATAATCAATCGATATAAACGAATATAAATATAAATAGAAATGCAAGTGCAGTGAAAGAGATTTATGCTAAATTATCAAATGCATAACAAACGTCACAATTTATGGTATTCGTCATTGAGTTCTTTTCATAAATGGTTTAAGAAGTCTCAAAACCAAGGCAATCAATTAGATTAGAAAGATAGAAGCTCTTAGAAGGTTATCACATATGTGAAGAACGTTATGAAAGGATGGTATACAGGGGCGTTTATCCCTATTATGTCTATTCAAGCGCAACAACTGTGCGATGAACATCATATTTAAAAGGATTGACGAACTTGCAAATATTTAAGATAAGCTATGGTACGCTTTTTATTCTAAAGTCGTACATGATTGACCCAAAACATCTTGAGCTTTTTGAGCTATTTTGGAACATCTGTGAACAAAATTTCGGCTGTAGGTTGAAACTTTCCATATTCCAAGAAGGCAAATGGTATTCTTCAAATTCACTCGAAAGATCAAGCTTTAGCTTACCGCTACTAGTCTTAACTAATCGTCCAAAACAAAGGCAGTTCAATAATACCTTCTTCAAGCTAAGAACTGATAGGCAAGCGATATTACTCAACACAAAATTAATTCATTTAAATATTTTTTTGATACCAATAAATAAGATACAAAAAAACGTATACAAAATATATCCACCCTGGGGAAAAAAAAATGCTTTTTACTATTAAACTTACCTGTAATTCAGTTGAAGAAAGTTGTAAATCCTTCAATTTCTTTGAGTCGATTACTTTACTCTCTTGCTTGATTTATGAAGTAGTTTTATTAGGCTTTGAATGATTTCTAAGGTATTAAATCCCTCTTTTTCTTTTTCCGATTCCCCAAGCCAGCCGCATGCATCATAAGTGCGAATAAAGATATGAATGCATGTATGTGTGTGCAAAGTACTTTTCAAACGTATATACGTAAAAGTTTACTTTTATTCCCTTATATTTCTCTAAAGATGTGTCGTAAAAGTTTTAAATGATTTCAAACTTTCTTTACAGTTTTGGTTTGTGCAAAAAAAGAAAAAAAAAAAAATGAATGATGAAGACTAACTTAAATTGCTTTTAAACATTGCTTTGTACGTTAGAATATATGTTAATTCGTTTTGTTTCTTTCATTTTATTTTCTCTCACTTTTAATTTTAATATACATTTTTATTGTGTTCTTGTTTTTTTTTTTTTTACTATAAGTTTTATGATTATATTTTGTAAAAACATTCACTTCTTTTTATAGTTAACACGTAACTTAAAGTGTAGAAATTGTAGATAGGAAGTCCGGCAAATGTGAAACACGATACATCAACAAAGTCCTATGTGTGTGCGCGTGCATAAAACAGAAAACAACAGCAATCGTGAATCGTTAGTTAATACTTAAAAATCGCAAACAAGAACGTAACGAGTATTTACGAATTTCCTTACTTTAGCACATTGCACACTTGCAACGATTTATCCAAAAATGACAACAATAGCAAACATTTAACTTTAATAAAACGAACAAAATTGTTATTAACAAATAAATATTTTTTATTTGATTTTTAAAGTAAGAGTTAGTTATTTTGTAAACACTTTACTAAAGATTAAAGTGAAACACGCATTGTAAATTTTTTATTGATTATTTTATTATATTTCTTCCAATTATCACTATTGAATTATTTTATTTGCTTCTTTTTTTTTTTTTTTTTTGTTTTTTATTTAGCACACATTAACAGAGAAAAGCACTTATTTGTAAAACATGGCAACACTGCTGCGCACGCAAACGATATCCGCCATTATTTTAATACATAACACTCCGGACACTCTGGCGGATGAGCTGAAACTGATTTTTAGGGTAAAAGTATTGTTTGTCACAAAGGACATTCGTGTATGTTTAGTGCATGATTCAATGCATACGCACACAAACACGAGCAATAGGAAATTGTACTCTATTGCTGGTGTTTGATTTTCAACACAACTCTCCAAATTGCACACGTTTTTTGTATGTAAGGGCATACAAAGAAAAAAAGACACGATAAACAAGAGGCAGAGCAGCAAGCAATCCATAGAACAAATTCAAAATACAATTCGTGCGTAAAAACGTTCGGTTTATTTCGTAAGATTTCTCTTCTCACATAAACGAAGTAAATATAAAACATTCTGTGTTTCGTTGCTCTCCCGTCTTGCTCTCTTGCATCCTTCCCTTTTTTTGTATTTTATTCATCTACTAAGAGTAATAAATTTTATAGTATTTCATTGACTCAACACTGCATGCTTTCTCTATCTTTCTCGCTCTATTCACAATTGTTAATGTCAACATTCACGGCACTGTGTTCTCAATCCTATATTTTCTCTTTTATACGACTCTTTATTAATTATAACTTTAATAAAACTTCTTGCTTACTTGTTTACTATGTACTTAGTTTTCTCTTTTTCTTTCTTTTTCCTCTTTAAGCATAACAATAATAATAGTAATAATTATAAGAATATTGAAGCTATTAGCTCAAGAGAATTTTTGACATCATAACGATAATAATAATAACAACTACTTTCAAGCGAAGTACTCAAGAGTACTTTTAAGCTGAAAGTTTTCTTACACGAAGGGTATATAGATGTTAATAAATGTTAAAAAATTTTTGTAAATTACATGCATGGTCAGTAATAGTTTCACACATTCGGCGCCCGATTTGCGTTTGACGATAAGTAATGCATCAAGAATTATCGCCTGTTTAGAACAGTATTTCATAGAAACTTTTTCCATAGATGCTTCCACTTTTTTACCTATGACTATTGTTGCATTTGTTATCATTTTTTCAATTGCTTACGTTGTTGTTTTTTCTTTTTATTGCTTTTTAAAAAACATCACGAACGCACATGTAAAAGCATTTATTCTTTCTTTACGCAAAACACAAGCTTCAATCATTAAATAGCAAAAAAACGTAGAAAAAGAAAAGCACTTTACAATGCACTTAAACAATGAAATTTGGGGAGAGGTCGCCGGGATCAAAGAACGCTGTTTTAGTACCCAATTTGCTAGTTAAATAAAATAAATCCTTGACTTCATAAACTTTTAGGAAAACCACTTGTTAGCAAAAAAAAATGTCTTAACACGACCTGGAGGCAAAAGAGAAGGCCTTAGCACTATATTTGCTATATGCCACTGATGACACCACAAGCGCAAAACAATCTTCTAGATATGCTAATCTGAGCTTCTTATGTGAACAAACAAGACTACTTCTGCGTTTTGAGTTTTTTAGGTTCAAAAAATCGTATCTAAGCTAAGCATGAAATTGTATTAGTATTATTATTCAGAGAATAAATTCTTAGAATTAACTTTTAAAGCAGTAGCATCTAAGGCTATCGGCTTTATTCAAAACTGTACCGCACTTAAGATTTCAAACCGACGACTAAGTTGTTGGATATAATGGCATAGCGTATTGAATCAGTAAAACAATAAAAATTTTCACAATTTTACTTTTACTAGGGTGTTGGTGTGAAAGTGAACTTTTAAAAAAAGATATCTGGTCGCTCACAACATCATGTTAGCAAGGATTTAGAATATGATCTCATGGTCAAAAAGTTCAATTGCTAAAAGTAATTTTTAAAATCAGTTGCAACAGCAATTTCAAATACCTAACCTGACCTTATTAAAATCATATTCATTGTTAATCGGGCAAAACAAAAATTTAATTCACTTCTGATTATTACTTCATTGAAACCATATCTTAATGGGGAACCAAAAAGCAGTTGTTTTTTATAATAAGGTTTAAGAGAGCAAGTACAAACGACGACCTCGAGAAAAGATAAACTGAACGAACTTGTTTAGTCATAGCTGAATGTAAATTCCCCTCATATCACTTGATTTTGTTTATCTTCAATAATATCTATTAAAACCGTTTTCTCTTATGCTATGCGTTATCTAACAGAGTCTGAGAATAACTGGTAAAGAAATTCAAATTGAATTTTCTCTTTAAGTCACGCTCTCTTTGCGTCTAATGTACGAATTCAAATGTAATGCGATTTCAATCAGTCGCGTTTGACGATTTTTTCATATTCAGCCCTAGACTTATTTATGTTACATTTACCTTTACATACATTCACATTTCGATCCAACCACACTATTTCTTCACATAAATGAAATACCGTCGTACAAAGTTAACGAATTTAGCTGTAAAGAGCACAATACGTTTATGTTTTATTTTTTCTTTTTTTTTAGATAAAAGAGAAGTATGTTTGTGAATACAATGTATAGTGTTACCCCGTTCAAAGGAGAAATATATTATGTTATGTTTAAAGACAGTCTCTTAATTCTCGATGGTTATAACAGTTTACTACATAGTGTCGTGTTGAAAAATAAAGGGAAATTATCGCAAGTTAACAGTGTTCAACGCTGTTAGCGTAACTCTCTCAATATTGTAGATAAAATATTTAAGTTTTAGCGAATGCAAATCAAATTGATGGACAAATTGATTCCAGTACATAAATATTTTAAACAGGTCTTATCAGCGTACAATATCAAACAAAAGCAACGCAAAATATTAAAATAAAGAAAGTATTACAAGAAACATTTCGTAATTAGTTTAATTTATCACTTATCACACAATTGAACGATAATGGTTTTCCATTAACGTATTTCATTCCAACTTTCTGTGAAAAGCAATACGGATAGACTAGTAGAATAGAAAAAATTTCCGTGGCTTTAGGTTTAATTTTACAAAATTTGATCACGCGGTACGTTTACATAAAAATATTGGGTAAAAGAAATCCTTTGTGATCTTTTTTATGAAATTTCGATGCATTTTCCCAACTTTTTAGATTATGTTTATGAAATCTGTAAGCTTTTGCGCCGTTTATCTGGTAAAAGCAATACCCTATGATTGCAAATCTTACAAGATTTGTGGGCGAATTTCTAAATACACAAAGCTATTTTTATAAGCCTCATTTGAAGTTGTCATTGATAGAGTTCTGCAAATAGCCATGATGGGCAGATGGGGCAATGTCCCAACTATACGGCAGACGCAACAAGACTGCCAAGGCAAATCAAATAATTTTCTAGTTCAAGTCATTTAGAAAAGCATGAGGAACAATCCAATATGATTTATCGTTACTGAGCACTTTAATCATGTTAGCTATTAGCTGCAGAAAGTGGAAATAATTCTCTGGGCTGATTGGAGCCCTTTCCAAGCGCACTCATCTACGATCTTTTCGCGTATTAGTGTTATACGAAACTCAACTTTACTTGTGCTTAGCTCCTTGTGTTAAGCTCCTCAAAATTTATAAGAACTCGTTCAGTTTTATCGCCGTTTTCCCCTTTTAGTCGACGTAATACCAAAATAACAAGCTTCTTTTTTTTGAAGTCTTGATAGCATATTGATTTTCTGAAATATTTTTAGTTTTGCAGCGATTTTGTAGGATGGAATGAACCGGTTTCCCTCAAATTTTTTGAAGACTTTCATCGACTTTATCAACAATTGGTCGAGCAGGGACGGTATAGTCTCACTGTAGAAAATTCTCTCATCTGCTGGCTGCCGAGTTTAGCAAAATATCTTCAACATAAACACCGCACATACTTATCACAAACCCACGGGACGCATTATCGTTTTAGTCAAAGGAATACTACAGATTATTGTAGAAAATATACATCAATTTTTCACAATCTTTTGCTTATTTTCACAGCGTAATCCCCGTCGATTGAATTAGCAAACAGAACAATTCTTTTCTAATTATACATAAAATAACACACGCTCTAGATAGAATTTGTTTTACCAAACTTAGGCGGCTTTAAACATATCCATTATCGACACGAACTTTTTGTACCTATAATTAAAGAGAAAGGCTGAAATTTTTCAAAAAAAAACAGATAGGTGACATTGTCGTAAGTATTCCCTACACCGTTTGTGATATATTAGATTTGTGCATATGTATGCAATATGCAGAGGGACTCGCAATAAACACAGCTTTTATTATATCACTCTCCGAAGAAATTGTCCACCCGTCTGTTTAACTGTCCGTCTCGTTTTCTTGTGTTCACCAACTTTTGTTATACTTTATTGACGTTCTCTTTTTTGCATTACTTTGAAAGGCCGTTGTATGCATAACAGGTGCTGTAGGGTATCTATATATTACTTTTAGTTTCTTAAAGAACTTAAAAGGGACCATAATTTTAATCCTTATACAAAAGGAAAAAAAAATCTAGAGACATAGAATTTTATATTAATAAATGCTATAGCGGGAATTGCTTTAGCCTTATAAAGATTTGATTATTATAAAAATTTACTACTATTTTGAAGACGTCTCTGCGTGTCTTCTCGTAATGAATATTCTCAAAAGTCACATTCATATGCTGGCAGATAACTTATTGTCTCACTTAAAATCTTACTACAGGTGTGAATTTCGCGATTCATTGTTGATAGAGCTTTGAAACATTCCCAACGAAGATTCCTAACGAAACTGCATAAGTTTTTGTCCAAGTTTTATAATTCAATATATCATTTGTTTACAGTCTTTCTTTCTCTAGCAGAGGTATAAACATTTTGCACAGTTAACAAAGCTACTAAAGTTTTACTGCCTACTACTACGTATTAGGCGTGGTTATGTAATTGAATTTTGTCAATAACAGCAAACTTCGAAAATAACTTCATAGACTTGTACGCAGGGCATACAAGTATTCTATTGAAATAGCAAAAA